TATTATCAAATACAAAAAAAGAAAAAAAATCAATTCTTCTTACTAAACATAAAACAAGAAATGAAAAATTTCTCCCTTAAAAAATGAAAATTTTATTACTTCTACTTTCTATATTTCTATTTTTTCATCCACCCTATCAAACAAATTATTAGTGACTTTCATCCCTAGCCTTCTTGTTCAAAATAGATTAATCATGATCATGTTATGTATGTTAATCTAAATGATGTTAAATGCAATGTGTTTGATTTGACTTTTATCAACCAAGTGCATAAATAAGAGAATTTGGGGACATGGGAGATGACCTACCGTAACCAGTTGTATCCCAAGCCAAGTGATCCCAGTTTATTCTAATTCACAAGTTTTTTTTATGAAACACGTAACACAATTCTCGGCACCGATCTTAAATTAGTACAAAATTTATAATTAAATTTTAAAAATCATAATAAAATAAATTTTTATAATGAAAAGCCCAAAGAACTTAATAAAGTTAACTTGACTTTTCTTACTTACCAACGCATTATTTGATGTCAAAATTTTGATAAGTTTAACACGACTTTTTAGATCTAAATTATGCAACAATTCCTGGAAAAGAGCGAGTGTGCTGAGAGAGGGGATTGAGAGAGAATTACAACGGCTATTTAACATAGTCATTACAGTGGGTATTTAACGCAGTCATGTAAAGTAGTAAATATTAAGTGCATCCGTAATTGTTGAGAATCAAGACACTATCTAGGATATAGAAAAGAGTACGAGCACTGTAGGTTAGAGCCCCTCTCTGAGATGTATGTAGATTCTGATCACAAGGAGTAAATCAATGAAGAGAAGAGATGCGAGATATTTTGGCATAGGAGTTCCGTTGGGACTTTACCTACTGGAAAATTGGTATCAAGTGAGGGAGGACCACTATTAACAGAAGACTATACCAATCGATGACTATTAGTGATTAGAACAAATTGTTGTAGATAATTTTATTATTATGTCATCATTTATTTTGATGTAATCTAGTCTATAATTCTTCTACGTTCATAATTGATATAAATGAGAGAAATTTATCTCTCCTCCCACCGATTTTGGTTGAGCTTATATTATTTGCTTTTAATTCTCTTATGTAGTAATATCATGTGTATTAATATTATATAGTATTATTAATTAATTAAAAAATTAAAATTAAAATTGGTGAAACTCATTATTATAACATGACAGTTTTAATAGATAAGTTAGTCATTGATTTGAACTCACAAAATTGATTTGATATTCTATGATTATTGATTATACCATGTACATGTAGTTAAATTTAATATTTTCTCCAATAAGTGATATCCACGTAGGAAATGATGTGCGAGTGCGTCAGATGGGCCCCACCCAGTACAGATACTTCTCATCTTCATCACCAATATGGGGTCCCCCCTCTCTTCCATGATGATCCCTTCGCTTCATTTTTACGCAACTTCGGATCAACGAATACGCATCATTTCCAGAATCTCTCAACGTTTTGACAATTTCACTTATATCAAGTAACCATGGTTAAACTTTAACCCTAGTACCACCCGAAGTGCAGTACCATGGTTTCAAATTATGTACAGGCCTATCCTTAAATTTATTGATAATTTGACTCTCTCTAAAAATTATCGCACAACTAAAAATTTATCAGATAATATTACATAATATCGAAATTCATCGTATGCTTGAGTTAAATTTTTTTTTCCCCAAATTAACTCCTATGTGAAAGGGAATAATCTTATATTCTTATCTCCAAGTTAAGTGCAAAATTTTGAATTTAAACGTTAGTAAATTTGTTGAATCACATAATTAATATAAAAATAAAAAGGACAAGATTCAATTGCACCACCTTTGGTTAATTGCATAGTTAACAAAGTTTCAAAATTTTAATTTTAAGATTATTGTTGGTCAAATTTTATAGTTTCCCAAGTTTATATAATTTCACTGCCAATTCATGGGCATTGAAAAAATTGTTAGAATGATTAAGATGAAAAGCGTTTTTCTAAATACATTTTGAAAAGAATTCTCACTTTGTGCCTCTAAATATTAAATTTTTTTTATTATATCCTTAATGTATTAAAAATATTACAATGTAACAATTTCGTTAGTTTCTGTTATTAATTTTGTCAACACAAATGAAATTATTTTTTACAGAATAAGAAGCGAAAACTAGCAAAGGGTTGCATTGCAATATTTTTTATATATTGAGGGGCTGTTTGTTTCAAGGATTAGAGTGGTATAAAGAGGTGGTATTAGAGAAATAATACGTGAGACTCATTTTATACCTTATTTATTTAGTATTTTATAGCTAGTACTATTTTTCGGATCATAATACCGACCTGTTATGAACATTAGTCATAATGTCTTGTAGATGGTCTTAATGAATACCACCTATCCGGTGGTATTATATGCCCGGTACAAATAAGATGGACGTATAATAGAGTAAAAAAACCCAACTGTTATCATGTACAATTGTTTTTTTAAGGTTACAAGGTTACAATTATCTTTTTATAAGTCATAGTCGTAATTATTGACTTTTTTAAGTAGGTATTACACAGATAATGTTTATGACAAACAAACAAGGAGAATAATGAAATTATAGTTTAAGACTAGGTATAATATATCATTGAATCGGAGTGAAATGAATATAAAATCTTATACCTCCTAAATCTTATATTCGAAATAAATAATCCCCGAAGGTATAATATAAAAATTCAATCTTTGAATATGTAAAATAAAAAATTCTAAATTTTTTCGAGGACAAAGCGAGATTCTTCTTTTTCTAAATCATGGTTCGATTTTTAAAATGTTTTAGGCCGAAATTAACCATGGTTAACTAATCCAACCAGGAAGACTGGTTGGTTAGCCACATGAAATTGCGTGATGATCACAAAGTGCCCTTTGGCTACTCTGTACTAGAATCCAAACGTCTCTGTCTCTCTTCTCTCTCTCACATGCGCCGCAATTGACGATGCTACTCAGAGGGCTTGTCGTCTAAAGGGACATGATCACGCTCCACTCTTAATTGGATTCCCTTCTCCGCCGGGACTTTGACTTGAGGTGGATAAGATTACGGGATAAAAAAAATTAAAGTATCTTGTTGTTAAATTTTATAAGTTTTATAAATTAAAATAAAATTTATTTATAGGTCATTTTATAATTTTTAAAATTTAAATTATAATTTTTTTGATTAAATAAATAATTTTTATGATAATTTGAGATTGATTCAAAAGCAATTAAAATCTTATCAATTTTAAAATTGATCTCAAACTATTATAAAAGAAACAAAAAAAATATAAAATTTATAATACGATGTCTGTACCAACAAAAATGGGAACGTAGTCTTCTCCTGGACTCCATCCCGCTAACTATGATTCCATTGTTATTCTAACCATGGTTGAAAAAGTTAAACTTGCTTTCAAAACAATATAGGCCCCACTAAATTTGTCTGTACTCTACTACAGTTACATCTTTACCTAACCTACCACATGACGCCCTCGAAGCGGGGGTTTTTAAATCAACTTAATCGGGAAGCATGTATAGCAATAATCGTGAAGCATAATTAGATGGGCTTGGTGGGGATAAGAATAATACTAGGAGGGAAGTGTTGTCCTACGTGTGTTTCCCTGTACTAAGCGTTTATTAACGGTGAACAACAAATATGGCCTCACCTCACCTTTATCAACATAGGTCTGATTCGTCATTTGACACTCACTTCTTTCCCAACTTTAACCTTGAACTAGTTTTTTTTTTTTTTTTTTGTTGAACAATAACCTTGAACTGGTTAAGTTATGGCAATTTGAGAAACTGATTAAAACAAGAGTTTTGGGTTCTTATATTTTATTTTAACTCAAAACTTAGATGAAAAGGATCGACTGTTTTTAGTTTAAGAATTTGAAATTGAAATAAAATTCAAATTTAAGTAAAATACTATGAAACAAATAAACCTAGTTTAAATTCGTCTAAAGCTGAATGTTTGAGGAAACTTTTAGATATAAGGTTGTTCTGATCACTTGTTCTTTTTTATGAATCAGGAGTAAGACTATGTTATGGTAATGATACCCTGTTGAAAAGTAAAATAATTGGACCATTAATTTTAAGTAGTTATCAAAAAAAAAAATCACATCAATAGAAAAAATAAAAAAATATATACAGACGGTCCCGGTAGCTTGAGATTTGGTTTAGAGGTATAGTTTAAAAAACGCAAGAGCCATAACCTATCACCATTTACATCTTATCGAGGAGGTGTCAAAACCCAGGCGTCCCATTAATAATTCGAAAACGACGAAAACTTATCATTTACAAAAGCTGACAGCAACGGCTTATACCAGGTCAACCGAATTCTCTACCCAATGTCCTATCGCCACGCACAACTCCACTCACAATGACTTATACATGTCATTTTCTGATTGAATGTCAGATGTCTTTCACTATGACGCACACCAATATAATGCTGTACATCTCAAATAATTTACTATTATTTTTTTTTGGTATTGTTCACCAAATTTATTTATATGTATAATTTTTTCATATCAAATTAAAGACTAATATTATCCACATTGAGATTTATAACGAAGACATTATTAGAATTATACATAATGAAGGAATTTTCCAAGCAAAGCCCTTGCCGTTGAGCTACCAGTGCACGTTAAGGTAATGTTCCCTTCTTTATAATTTTGTTATAGATTTAATCTTCACCGTATGATATAATCATCACTTAAATTTAAAATTCTAAAGTTAGTGTATATTTTTTAGTGAAGGTATTCGGGTACTAGGAATAACTCCGTGTCTTAATTGACTTAACATACTTTGTAATATTATAAATTAAATATTAATTATTGATTGTATAATATTTAAATTTATTTTTTTTTAAATAAAATAAAATAAAATAAATGGTGAAATTAAAAATAGAGGGAGCAGATGAGATCAGAGATGACATAAGAGAGAGAAATTACGGCCATGGCTTCTATATAGCCACACAGGGGTGATCATTTGATTGCAAGAGTGAAAATCACAGTAAGGCCACCCAAGAAAGTGAGTGCATTGTTCATCTGCTCCTCTCCCTTCTTCCCCCCCCTTCTAAAATCCCCGCTTCTGAGATCCCTTTCTGTCATCTTCTGTCTTTCAAACTTACAATTTCGAGGGTTTGTTTTAGCTTGATCTTAAACATATTTGAACACAAAACAAGCAAACCCATAAGGGTGTTTTTGAAAGCCAGCTGATTCAGAATAGAGATCCAAGTTTTTTCTGTATTTTTTTCCGCTGTAATTTCTCCAAAACAGCCAAGAGGGTTTGTTTTTCTGCCCCTCAGGTTGGTTTTTGATTTTCTTAAGCTTGCACAAGTTTATTTTCTGTGTAGAAATTTGCTTTTTCTAATATACCTGTTCTTTAGTTTTGGTACAAGAAACAGGTTATTTTTACGTCCTCTTTTTCAGATCTCTTTCTTGCTCTTTGGTTATTGCTAGTTTCTCTTTCTGTATAATTTAGTGTAATTCTTCTGTGTTGTATAACTTTGTTGAGAAGCCATGGCAGCAGCTATAGATATATACTGTAGCAGCAGTCCAGATTTCTCAGATCCCTTGGGGGAAGAACTTATGAAAGCACTTGAACCTTTTATGAAAGGTGCTACCTTTTCTTCCCCTTCTTCTTCTTCCCCTTCTTCTTCTTCCCCTTCATCCTCTCCCTCTCCTTCTTACCCCTCCTCTCTCTCTCCTCTCTCTTCTTCCTCTGTCTCTTCTCCCCCTACTTCTTCTTTGTATTACCCTTTTGAGTCTTCTTATAACTTTTCTTCTCTCTCTTCAGAGCCCAATATGTTCCCTGATTTTAGCTCATCCCCATCGACAACCCACATGTTTTCTCAAGGGTTTTCGAGTTTTAACCAAGTGGGCGTTGACCAAACAGGTTCAATTGGGCTCAACCACCTCACCCCATCTCAGATCCTTCAGATCCAAGCTCAGATCCAACTCCAACAACAACAACAGTACATTACTTCATTAACCTCAGCCTCATCTCTCCACAACCAAACCTTAGCAAAATTGCAACACCAACAACAATTCTCTAGCTTTCTTAGCCCCAAACCTGTCCCAATGAAGCAAGTAGGAACTCCCCAAAAGCCCACAAAGCTTTACCGGGGAGTGAGACAGAGACATTGGGGTAAATGGGTTGCTGAGATCAGACTTCCCAAGAATCGAACCAGGCTTTGGCTTGGCACCTTTGACACTGCCGAAGAAGCAGCTCTGGCTTACGACAAGGCTGCTTATAAGCTCAGGGGAGACTTTGCCAGGCTCAATTTTCCACATCTGAAACACCAATTAGGCTATGAATTCTCCGATTACAAGCCTCTTCATTCCTCTGTGGGCGCCAAACTTCAAGCGATTTGCGAAAGCTTGGCTAATTCGCAGAAACAGGGGAAGTCTAAGAAGCCCAGTTTTGTTGCTGATTCAAAGCCAACAATTGTGGATTCATTGCAAACAGGTGTTGAACATTTGGAAAATGTTTTTGATGATTCGTTTAATAGTGAATCGAGGTATCCAGGACCGGAGGAGATCAAAGTGGAGGCCTCATCTTCGTCATCTCCGTCAGATGATCAGTCGTCGGCGGGTTCGTCTTCGCCTGAATCCGATATCACTTTCCTGGATTTCTCAGAGCCTTCATTCGATGAGTCAGAGAACTTCATGTTGAATAAGTACCCTTCAGTGGAGATAGATTGGGCAGCTCTTTAATTTCCTTTACTGTATCGATATTATCATGTTGTAATCTGTGTGTTTAAGTAAGTTTTTAGGTGAAGGTTTCTAGGTTTATTATGGTATTGTCTACTAAGGCCTCTGCAATGGTTTTTTTGACATTGCAGAGGTGAGTCATTAGAGGGTATGGAGTAGTTCATGTTATTATGTATCCTTAGGTTAGTCTCCATATTTTGATCTAGCTTGTGTTTTTTCCTATGCATTGATCAAGGGAGAATTTTAGTTTGTGTATGTAGCTGGGTGTAATTAATCTATCTTTTAATGTATAATCTACTTGTTTGTATGTAGTGCAAATCATGGTGTGCTGTGGTGTGGTGATGTTTATCTCTTTTTCTAGGTTGTTCATGTCATAAAATGGTCGGATCTATGTAAGTTATCAAGGGTTCCATACTTGTTGTTACTAGTATAAGTCTGTAACTCATGCATCCAGTAATTGATCACCAGTGCATTTTTATTTGGAAGGAAGTGTAAATGATCTACATCTATCTTTCAGTGGTATAGTATACTTTTAAAGCTTGTTTGAATGAATTTTAGGAAGGGTTTGGATGAATTTTAGGAAGGGATTTGAATTGGTTTTTTTGAACCTTCCAAACTAAAATTCCTCTCTTTCTAAAGATGACACGTAACATTTAATTCAAAGTGTACTCATGTTGGTATATAACAAAAAGTCATGTAAAATTTATGGATATATTATAGTTATTAGTAACTATTTTTTTAAAATAATTATTTTATCTTTAATCAATCTAATTTATACCTATGTTAAAAGATATAATTGTCTTTTGTAACTTTAACCGATTAACCCATCTTTTCAAACTCCCCTCCTAGGTTAGGCGAAACCGTTCAGGGTTTTACAAAACGCATCTTTTAGACTATATTATCAAAATTCATCGTATTAAAGCCTCTCATTCCATTTTACCAAACGGCCCTTAGGGCTTTTGAGATTTGGGGTTGAGACTTTGGAGGCGTTGGTCTTTCGTTCCATGGTATAGTGAGGCGAGGCAAAACTGCGAAACTGCAAGGAACCAGGGAGGGGCTTGGTTTTATGATTTAAGGGATGGATCTTGTCAAAAACACGAGTTTTTGAAGTGATTTAGTGTCGGCGGAATCTCATTTTGTATCCCAAAGAATTTAAGATTTTTTATTTTGTACCTTAAAAATATTAGATTTTTCGTAAATTGCACCCTCACTATATAAAGAGAGCGATGATAATATAGTCATTTTGGTAATTTTTGTTACTCATTCTATAAAAAATCATTCCATTGACATCAATATAATAAGTAACCGAAAGACTATATTATAATATTTTTAATACATTAAAAAGTATAATATGAAAAATTTAATTTTTGAGAGTATAAAATATATTTTTTAAAATATTTGAAGATGTAAAATACGATTTGCCCTTTAGTGTGAATGACATCAATGGTGTAAATGATGCAGAATAACATGAATCATAAAAATGAATGATAAAAAACTTAGAAGCGTTGCTCTGGGTCAATACTTCAACAATATGTGACATTAACATACTATAAGCCTAATGTTAAAGTTGCGCAAGCAGTGCGTTGAAGAGGCTGTTTAATCTTTCAATCTACATGAAAAATCGAACTTTGTAATGTTTTTAAGATAATTTGGTGGAGACTTATTGTGCACTCTAATTTGCTGCCTTAATTTCAAAACCAGACGACCAATAAGGCATTGAAACAGTTGCATGTATCGCCCACAAAAACTTGTTCCTTCGTTGACAAGCTCATTAGGCAGCAATGGTCATCGACAAAGGGCAGTTAGGAAGGGTATTGAATTCCTCTAATCAGAGGAAAAAATCTTTATCTATAATATCACAAACAAATTATTATTGAAGAGGTATTGAAAAGTCTTTCCTATTATTTTCTTAAGTCTCCTATATGAGAAATAAAAAAATAAATAACAAATTTCTTTCAATTAACTCTTACTCTATATATGCACCCGCTAGTTTGAATGCTTATGATGGAGTCAAATCCTTGCAATACATTTTCTGTTTAATTTCTTTCTTGTTGAATCGCCTATTATATATCCAAATGAGACTTATTATATACAAGTGAATTCCTCACTCATTAATAGTGAATGATCTTCTCAGAAAAACATTGAAGAAGAAATTTTTTGGAGAAAATCTTGATCCACTTGCCTGCAGGGATCAAATTATGCCCATCGCAGGGAACACCATTATTTATTATATAGTAAAAAAGGGGAAGCATCTGGGATCACCCATCACGATGAGACTCTCTATGATTTTCTCATATGGAGGACTGGAATAAATTGTACAAACAGGAAAACCAGTTGTTGTTAAGAACCTTCTTTTAGTAGAAAAGAGTATAAGATGCACATTATAATCTTATCCCTTGAATGGTGAGAGACAAAGAAATTGGAAGCAATCACCCACCATCCAAGTCAATCAATCCAAGATTCTTATCCTTTCTTCTTAGCAAGAAAGACAAAGTTCATAATTCATACTAACAAATAAATGGAGAAGGAAAGTGACTCTGAAAAGTCCTTCTTGGGCTATCAGGAATTCCTTACAAAGCTGAGCCTAAGAATTCTTTTACCACCTTTATATCTCCTTTGGATTCTGATTAATTTTTTTTATATTTTGTGTTTCTTTCTACCGTTGTTTTTGTCCGTCGAAAAATAGATAAGAAGCCAAAAGGAGTGTAAATGGGCGAAAATTTTGCATCTTAAAGTTATTCTTTAGAGGTGGAAGAAAGGTGAAGACCCGAATAGATCACTCACCTTTACAGGTTTGGATGAGGTGGCTTGTGGCTACTTTGGCATCAAATCTATGTTAATAATCTCATTATTCATTTGATCTACAACTACGATTACCTTTCTAGTGTTCCTAGTCAAGCACGTAAAGAGAGAGAGAGAGAGAGAGAGAGAGAGATGGCACCCATGCTTAACATTTACTCAACTAGAAGTCATAAGTTAGGGCGTTTCAATTGTGAAGAATAATCCAATGAATAGAAGAGGCCAAAATTTTCTGCTGCTCACATAAGAAATAAAGACACGCTTCACATTTGTGTGTATTCCTTTACTATCCTTGACATTTTATTGACACCACCATCTCCTATAACATACAACTAGATTTCTTCTGAAAAATATGACATCAACCAAAACAACTCTGTTTCCAGCTAATTTTTTCGTGGGGACAAAATTAATCCAATAGTAAAACGCTCCTTGTTTTTTTTTCATTTTTCCACTCTCTCTTTGTCACACACAAGCATACACAGACTTTGACACACATGCCACATACACATCCAACCAATCACAATAGACCACCATGACCAACACACCAAAACGCTTAAAAAAATATATGATACATCATACATATCTTTATACAAATATAAATGGGTACATCAAAAATAGAGAGAGGGAGAACCCTTGATGGTATAAAAAACGTGATCCGTTTGTTTCTACGTGCATTGTTAATTATCAAAATGCCTTTTATAACTAACAATGATGTGTAAATTTTCCTAGGATAGGGACAATGTATTATGCCTTACATGTAATGCAAAAACAATTTGTCATCATGGTCAACCAACCACAACTGTGTTATTCACTCCAGTGAGCTTGGCGGTTGAAATTCATCCAAATGTTAGAAGTACCAAAATTTATAATGATGAGGNGGGCTATCAGGAATTCCTTACAAAGCTGAGCCTAAGAATTCTTTTACCACCTTTATATCTCCTTTGGATTCTGATTAATTTTTTTTATATTTTGTGTTTCTTTCTACCGTTGTTTTTGTCCGTCGAAAAATAGATAAGAAGCCAAAAGGAGTGTAAATGGGCGAAAATTTTGCATCTTAAAGTTATTCTTTAGAGGTGGAAGAAAGGTGAAGACCCGAATAGATCACTCACCTTTACAGGTTTGGATGAGGTGGCTTGTGGCTACTTTGGCATCAAATCTATGTTAATAATCTCATTATTCATTTGATCTACAACTACGATTACCTTTCTAGTGTTCCTAGTCAAGCACGTAAAGAGAGAGAGAGAGAGAGAGAGAGAGAGATGGCACCCATGCTTAACATTTACTCAACTAGAAGTCATAAGTTAGGGCGTTTCAATTGTGAAGAATAATCCAATGAATAGAAGAGGCCAAAATTTTCTGCTGCTCACATAAGAAATAAAGACACGCTTCACATTTGTGTGTATTCCTTTACTATCCTTGACATTTTATTGACACCACCATCTCCTATAACATACAACTAGATTTCTTCTGAAAAATATGACATCAACCAAAACAACTCTGTTTCCAGCTAATTTTTTCGTGGGGACAAAATTAATCCAATAGTAAAACGCTCCTTGTTTTTTTTTCATTTTTCCACTCTCTCTTTGTCACACACAAGCATACACAGACTTTGACACACATGCCACATACACATCCAACCAATCACAATAGACCACCATGACCAACACACCAAAACGCTTAAAAAAATATATGATACATCATACATATCTTTATACAAATATAAATGGGTACATCAAAAATAGAGAGAGGGAGAACCCTTGATGGTATAAAAAACGTGATCCGTTTGTTTCTACGTGCATTGTTAATTATCAAAATGCCTTTTATAACTAACAATGATGTGTAAATTTTCCTAGGATAGGGACAATGTATTATGCCTTACATGTAATGCAAAAACAATTTGTCATCATGGTCAACCAACCACAACTGTGTTATTCACTCCAGTGAGCTTGGCGGTTGAAATTCATCCAAATGTTAGAAGTACCAAAATTTATAATGATGAGGTGTACAGTTAAAGGCCAACTTTCCAACACAAATCAGCACTGGCCTAGGCCATCCCTAGAAGGTCAGAGTGTTACAACCTGAAGTGAATATCTTAGGTAATTCAAAAAATTGAGATTAATATACAATTAGAGCTGGTGTTATTACTGTAAAACATTCATTTTATTGTCTTAATAATGTAAGAAAGTGAATCATCCATGTAAGTGGGCAGTATAAAATTGAGCAAATTACATTTTATCTCACTGTAGTTTGAGTCAACCACATTTTATCTCCATATATTTTCAAATTCGACCCTTAACTCAATATGATTTGGTCTCAAAATGCGAATACATAGAGGTAATCTATAGTTTTGTTTTGAACCATAGAAGACTGTGTATGCGTTCAAAACATAGGGAGGTGACTAACTGACTGTGTGTATATGTGTTCAATACATAGGGATGTTAACCCCAGGACATGTACAATACAGGGACTACCAATTTTCTATTCAATTTTTTGGCAGGTCTTGCAGTATCTTATTCTTCAGTTGGACGAAGTTTCCAGTGTTGTTTGGGATGGATTTTTAATCATCAACTGTAGCCACAAAAAAAGGGGGGCATATCGTTACCTATGCAGCGAAATTGCAAAACATGTACGATTCAAAAAAATCAAAGATATTCAATGAGATTCAACTTTTT